TGTGGATGTTGCACATATGTGTAGCATTCTGCTGTTCGATGACTTCAAAACTGTACTGCTCGGAGGCTTTTTCAGTTGTAGCGGCGTAAACGATCCACATTCCATGTTTTAAACAAACCCCACTGCTGAATCCGCTAAGAGAGCTCTTGGAGACAAGCAACTTAAGTTGTGGCAGCACTACGGCCTTGACCAGTGCGTCAATGGTTAAAGTCGGACACGCGGTCAGGTATCCGTATGGCAGCTTTCTACAACGACAGAAGCCCTTATGTATACTCAGTTAAAATCTGCCGAATAAAGTCAAAGGAGTAGGGCTCTTGGTAGGAACATAACATAACATTCAGCACATTCGCTGAGCTCTCGCCGTGTGGTTTCCACAGGTTGTAGGCTTGTTACCACCTCACGTGTCCCCACCTCTCTTTTAGTGGAGAGAAATAGTGCCAGAATTGTTCCAGGTGCTGCATTCTTAAAGTGTACTTGACTAAGGGCAGCAACTACTCACTTCTTGGGGAAAAAGAATCAGCTAAACTACCGCGGTGTAACTCTGCATCTATCTCAGCGAGGAAATTGGGGCTTTGAAGTTGCAATTGAAGCCCTTTGAACAGCCTCATAACACTGATGATGATATCCCAGAAGAGCTGCTTGCGGACACCGAGTGCAATCTTCTGCAAAACCCAGAAGACTTACACCACGCAGCAAGAAGCATCATACAAAAGCATAACCTCTTTAATGATCACTACATCCAACAGGCAATTCCGCATATATTCAACAGGTTGTCTGAGTTGTCTGCTAAGTGTACTATGAAGTGTACATGGGCTTTGGTACACCAAAACTCCCAATTATCCACCTGCTGAGCGTGCGTGTGACGAGCAGGACAAGGGGGCGTGGAGCCAGACAAACAGTGCAGTAAATGGGTACACCAAAATTTGCTAGAGAACCTTCAAAGGTGAGAAGCAGAGGGTGCAACTTCGCAAAAAAAGTAGGAGGCTGCTACAGGGACGATGTCACATAAGCAGCACAGACTCCTCGCCGCTACCTCGGAACCACGAAGCTCGCCCTGCAGAGCTCCACATGCCCAACAGGGAGGCCAAATACCCCAAAGTGGAGCCGCTATAAGCGCTTACTCAATATTTGGACTGCCGTTTTGTAATGGTAGTGTAGTGGTAGTGTTCAAGATGAAGGCAAACTAGAATAGACCTTGTTTAGCGTCCAGCTCCGCAAGGGTGACACAAACGGTGCATATTTTGCCCACCCTGGACAAAAGCATGACTCGAATAGCTGCACAAAAAGCAGACAGCCAGAATGGGTAGAGGAAAAGGCCAGTGCGACCCACTTGTGCAAGGAACGAAAGGCATTTACAGGAAAGGGCTCGCGAGCGAAGATGCAAGCAATGAGGAGCTACTAGGAAGTGAGCCCTCCCACACTCAGCACGAAGCCCAGAAAGAAAGCGCAACAGCAAAAGGGCTTCGCCAACGACTGAAAGACTCGAAACTCTCTCCGGATGCAAGGCAGCTTATACCAAAATTTCTACTTGTTGCCCAACTTGTATGCGTGGATGCAAGAACATCACAGGAATCGATGGGTCACTGAAGAATGGGGTCAACTGAGGCGAGAAGCTCCACATTTCTGCTTTGCCCTTGCGAAGCTGTCACAGAGGGACTTGGATTATGCTAGGGAGGTGTTTCACAATAGACTCTGCGAAATTCCACAACAGAAACTGGGTGCACTGCTGGTGGCCAACAAGCAAAGTGCGGACTTCACACTCAACTCATCGGGGATTTCGATCATATGGCTACTCAGCTGATTGCCTAGACCAATTGTATGATGCACCACGTGGAACGTAACGTGCTACATGGCATGTTATTTGCACTGCTCAGAGATGGGAGAGTACGCCAATCGTCAGTTCAGGAGGCAGCTGCAGCAATAATTGCCGCTTTGTACACGTGTCTTCAGGCCTTGTAAAAGCCGCAGAAGCCTCGTTTGTTATTGCAGGATGCAGTGTGGGGTTTGTAAAGGGTGCAGGTTCCTGTTATTGGCCAGTTGGGTCAAGGAATCTAAGCAGAGGGAGACCGGAAAGCCGCCCGAAGATTCTGATGGTTTTGAAACGACTCGTACATCCTAATCACTCTTTAAGAAGACTCTAGGCTCGAAGCCAAACTAACTACAGGAAGTTTTTGCTGTCACTGGCAATTCGAAGGCAAGAATATGGTGTTGGGAAAGACCTGCTTCCTGATCCCGTGAAATCTGCTGAGCATGTAGACGAAAAAAATGATGAATTACTGCTTCACTTCAAAGAAGGCGAGAGTGCCATCTCTTTGAGAGAAAGGCGGCTGCGAGGTCTTCACATGCTTGCAAACCTCGGAGTAGTCAAGAGGCCAGCCAGCTGCGGATGACCTTTCGGACCACGACCGTGCAGGAGCGCCAGCAAACCGAGACTGTCTCTGAAATGCCTTGTTCAGCAATCTCCTTAGGTGCTTTTCGCGCAGCACTGTACATGAACCGCAAATTCCGACAAGGCAGGCAAGCGGCGGTTAGCTAAGACCAGCTTGGCGCCTACGCGCTTCTCCTGTTCCTGCCATATAGGTACACACGGATTACTACGAAGTAAAGACGCTCTTTACACATTAAAAGGGTCCACAAAATATTATTATAGGTCCCCATTTTCGGTGGTGCATCTGCCTTTGTCGCTATTTGTCCCTCTCTGTGTAGATGTGCAGCGCAATACAGCTCCAATGCCTCTTACATGCTCCAAACCGTGTGCCTAACTGCAGAACACAATGGGTCTTACCGCCTAAGGACTGAGTTTGTTTAAGGGCATTCTACTTGCATTTATAACATCAGTCTACAAGTTCCGAATTGTGGAACGCTGGAGGCCATCACTTCGCTACATTGTAATTTATGGATACTATACAAGCATTCAGACCTATAGCGTTTCTGTCGAGGCGGCGCTTGACGAGAACGGCAGCGAGAAAGCGCTGACGCTACCTCTGAATCTATTGGCGATTTCTTGGAGTGCTGCAGCCCGTCTCGCCGGCCTCATGTTGGTGATGTTGAAGGACGGGAGAATCGGGAAGAAGCCTGGTCCACAGGGCTGGCGATTTGAGAGCATCATGTCAGCAGAGGAGCCGGCGCAAATGGCGATAGCCGGAGGAAATGCGTTCTTTACAATCAAAGGTCTATCAAAAGTCCTTAGCAGGAGCTGAAACTTAGAAGCCTGGCTTAGTGATGCGACTGTGCTGATTTACTAGAAGGCTCGGGCAGCGGGCTGTCAACAGAAAGGAAGAAAGGGTGGCGTCCAGAACAGCCCATGGGCAGAAACAGACTACATTCAAAATGGTGCCTTTTGCTTCGATGGTGCTTGGATAGGAGCATCGCAAGTAGCGCGTCGATTGGCAGCAAATCGTTGTTGAGGACACAGGTATGCTTGAAGCAGGGCCCCTGACCAACAACGGAAGCCACTAGGCTTCTTCGGCCTTCACACAGCAGGGTATTTCACACTGTTTCGAATAGCAGATGCCAAACAGAAGTTGTTGTTGAGTGCGGTGCTGGAAAGTGGTCAATCTTTTGCAGGTCACTATGGGTCACTATGCACAGGCACACTGAAGGAAGTATGATCTGGGGCCAGCCTGATGCGCGGTTTGCGAGTGGCTGCCAATGACAAAAAATTATTTGCTTCACGTTATTTTAGGACCTTGTCATTATTTGCGGAGGGCGTCAGTCACGACGTCAGTCACGAAAAGTGGGAAAATAACGTGCCTGTGGTGCTTTGCAGGTTGCCGGGTCAGCGCCAATCGCTCTGAGTGGCGCCGTCACTCGCCAGAAGACACCGAGAGGCTGAAAGAGATGGAGGTAGAGCCTGACACAAATATCCATTCATATTAGGGAATGTCACACTTGTATGTAGCGTGGAGAATTCTGCTCCAAACGCAAGTGAGCCAAGAGTAGCCCAGGAGCTCTGTCCACTCTCTGCATGAACCTCTTTCCTCCAATTACTATGCTGCCAGTTACCAGAGTCTCGAAGAGAGCTAAGGAATAGCATACGCTCACATCGCGCTACGCAGAAGTGGTACTGCGGGGGGACCTACACCTGAAGGCAAAAGCCTGACATCATTTGAGGCCCAAAACTGCGCCGGGCTAGATAAGAGAGATGGCTCTCTACAAGTGTACGAATAAAAGAATCAGAAGGGCAAAGGGTGGGTGTGTTACTAATGGTGACGGAGCCTACAGGTGTCTCCCACGGTGGGCCTGTACTTGCTCAGTGTCGCCTGTCGCTGCTTGTGGCTTCGATACATTACGAAATTGAAGAAACAGTAGCGGAATCAGAAAACCTGAGTAACTTTATAATTTTATGGCAGTCCTTGATGGCGGGCGTCTTTGGATCCCTTCACAGGCTACGCTGGAACATCACAGACGGGCAGATACATTCCTTGCATACAAGATTAACTACAATCTCTACGCATTGCTCTCCGGCCATACATATCATTTCCTCTTGCTTTACTCACAAATATCAATCTTAACCTCACAAAATTTATACGGAAATTTGCGAGAAACGGAGATTACAGTACATTAGCTGCTGCTGGTCTTCTGTTCAATCCGTTTGGGGCTGCAGTGCATGCAATCGCTACGGCCAGTTCCACCTGGGAGTTCCTGAAATTTACTGCATCTGAAGAACCAGCTGTTAGACTGAAGCTAGTTCTTCAAGGCGCTGAATTTGGGTTATGTTGTGGCATGGTCAACAGGAACGCTTTGCGGGCACTGGTGGACACAGTAACTGCTTTCCTCTCCCTGTTTTCCTAACATTGACACTCAGGTTGCCACCATTAGTAGTCCCTCAGAGCCTGAGATGGATTATGGAAGAAGAGATGCATGGTAACTCACTGTGGCTTCCAAGAAATAGCGAGAGAGAAGGCTCGGAGTAGCTGTTGGTCTCCAGTCACCTTTAGCGATTTTGCCGGCAGTACGGCGTAAGGGCAAGGCAGTTTCGCACTCGAGCTAAGTGGAAAATGGTGCGTATATTTATCAAGGGAGGTGTGTGGAGGAACAGCGAAGATGAGATCCTCAAGGCGGCCGTCATGAAATATGGCCTGAACAACTGGAGTCGAGTGGCTTCCCTTCTCGTCAAAAAATCCGCAAAGCAATGCAAAGCCAGATGGTATGGCACCATAGTGGTCGTAGACAAGCACTCAGATGCTTCTCTAAGGGAAAGAGTGTTGCGCCCTCCAGCGAACGTGAGAGACGACCATTTTAGAGTGCAGTTGACTGGAGGCGTGCTTGCAGGTATGAGTGGTTGGACCCAAGCGTGAAGAAAACAGAATGGACACTTGAAGAGGAAGAGAAACTTCTTCATCTTGCCAAAATCATGCCATCTCAGTGGCGCACAATTGCGCCCATTGTTGGACGGACGGCATACCAGTGCCTCATGCACTATGAAGAGCTCCTTGATCAAGCACAGGGCAAGCAGACAATTATTTGCGTTTGAATGTGCATGTTAGTTGCCCCGTTTTACATGCGCGTCTCGCTGTGTCCGCAGCGAGACGCACATGTAAAACATGGCACCATTGCCTTGCTGAAGTCTCAATCGTGCTTCGTGTACCTCGCTAGAGAGCAAAGATACAGCGCAATCCAGCACTTGTTGTATTGAGACCCTTACCAAGCATCAGGCGGTCTATCAGCTAGTACTACACTGCCTGTTTTACGCAGAAGGAATGGAGGGCGCGGACAAGCCAAGTGGCACGGGATTTTCGCAAGCTCCAGGAAGCCGCAAGGCTCCAGGGAGAGGGGTTGGATTTCTTGTAAGTATTTGTCTTATTGTTGCTCCTGATTTCTAAACTGTTGAAGTGGTTTCTGCTGTCGCCTCCCATTTTCTTTGAACCCTGTGCTGTACGTGCATTTGCATTGAAATTTGCCCTCTCCAGAGTAAGGCGCCGATGGGAAAATGTTCTCTTATTTGCGTTGCAGCGGGGAAGGGAAGACCCTAGGCGCCTGCGGCCTGGAGAGATTGACCCGCACCCCGAGACCAAGCCGTCGCGTGCAGGTCGGTGCTTTAGACGCCAGGGTTCAGAACCGCAATTAGTGGCATTGATTAAAAGCGATTGTGCACTTGTAAAATACTGGGCCCATTTTATGTGACATTTATTAAAAGCGATTGTGCATTTGTAAAATTCTGGGCCCATTTCGTGGCGACATTTGGAGAGAAGATCCTGTTGAGGCCCTAGAACGTAAGGCCTTAAGAATGTAGTCTGTGCTTATGTTGACCTGTACAGATCCAATTGACATGGCAGAGGATGAAAAGGAAATGCTTGAAGAAGCCAGAGCCCGTCTAGCTAACACGCGTGGCAAGAAGGCAAAGCGAAAGGCACGCTACGAATGTTTTTAACTGTCTCCCTTGCCTCTTGCTTGGTGTTATTGGTCTTGTCTGTACCAAAGCTTCACAGCTCACCCTCCATCGAGCCACGGGGACTGTCAGATTTTATGAGCGTTTCATTGTGGAATGGGCAACGGCGGTGACTTTCGCAGGCAAGGGAAAAACAGCTGGAAGAGGCTCGTCGGCTGGCGGCGTTGCAAAAGAAAAGGGAGCTAAAGGCAGCAGGTGAGCGCACACTTCGTTTGAAGTCAGCCGCTTATGGGATTCTCACTGAACATACTGGGCAGCAGCAGCCCGTGCAGTTTGCACAGCTGCAACTGAAACATCTATTGCAGAAGCCGCAGGGAGAGCTCTGTCTGTATCAATAGGCTACGCGTGTCTTGACAGGTATCATCACGGGGGCCAAGCGACGAACGAGAAAAAACTTTCAACCATACGAAGAGGTGCCGTTTGAAGAGAAGCCGCCTCCAGGTCGGTTTTTGTGATGTGCAATCAACTTCATGTGTCACACTGTTTTGTATGGGCATGATTGCACGCATTTAGGTAGCCAACGCTGAGCATAATTGTATCGAGTTTGTTTGCGCATGTCCACATTGGCGTATAAAGAGAGTGCATGATGGACTGTGTTGATGCCAAGTTGCATGAGTTCTGGGGTGTTGAGCGTAGCGCCAGCTCATGTCGAACGGGTTGTTTTTGCCTTTTAGGCTTTTACGAGGTTCCATCTGAAGAGAACCCAGAAGGCAATCTGAACTTCGCCAATATCAGGTAGAGAAGAGTTTTCGTTTTTTTCGTTTTTTGTGGATTGTCTAGGATGTATTGGCGGCGTGTTTGCATTCTTCTGAGAAAATGAAGCAAGCGAGGCCAGTGCATGAAGTCATTTGAAATACACATTAGGCCAGTTTGGCTTTGCAAGGTTTATTGGATCTCCTTCTTTCTGCGGTTTATATATGGCCTTTAGAATCATATTTAGACAGAAGCCGCGTTGATCGGTAGCACTTTTGCCACGGTTTTGCATTGGTTAGCTGCAGTACAATTTCATCTCGACTTGTAGTTGTTTTTTTCACAGTTTGCAACATATGGAAGGGTCCATGCGCGCTCGGGAGGAAGAGAAGCTCAGGAAGGAAGATGCAAGAAAGTTGAAGCGGCTGAGAGAAGATCACCTGGATGAGTATCTGAAAATTCAGGAGGAAAAACTGAAGAAAGATGCAATATCTAAAAAGATGAAACTCAACCTGCCAGAACCGATGCTGAAAGAACACGAGCTCGTAAGCTAAGTAGCTTTAGTCATCGTGCACGCCATTTCCACTCGTTGCTTTTTAGAGTTCAACCAGTTCCCACTGTATATTCATTGCGTACATATATCGGTGACGTACACAAAAGAGAGCGTTTCTTCGTGTGCAGGAAGAGCTGGTCCGTCTTGGGGCGGAGGCGTCACTCTTGACAGGGTCGGATGGGCACGATGAGACTTCCACTTTACTTGCACAAGGTGAACAGATCTGGTGCCAGAATTTGAATACTGGCATTTTCGATAAGAAACGCCATTGAGATAACACAACTCAGGGCTTCTTGGTTCTCTGACATCCACAGAATGCCCCATGCAAGGTTTGTCTTCGATGAAGGGTTTAGACTGCACTAAGATAATGCAGCACTGGGCAGATATGTTTCGGGTGTACCTCTTTCGCTGCAGGACTTTCCACTCCGTCCACGGTTATTTCCCGGGTACCTCGCCGTTCTGAACGCGTCCAGCAAGAGGCACGAAATGCGTTGGCCCTCCTCGGAATCCAAACTCCTCTAGAGGTGCGCGAATGGTAGCGTGGCTAGGTGTGAGGCACCAGAGGTACTGAACTGTTCGTCAACACATTTTATCAAGAGATCCGCAAACGAACAGCTAGACACACAACCTAGTAGGCAGTTGCAGTACTTGACACTTAAGTTGATGGGATGGTAGCCGCACTGTCAGTAGGTTATTCTAGAGATACAGACGCCACGAATTCGGGTTTCAGAACGGTAGGGAAGAAACGTGTGGCAACGGGTAATCTCAATTGTGTTCTAATTTGTCGTAGGGAGAGCAAAATGCCCAGATTGAGGAAGTTCAGGGTGGAAGGGGACTGACTCCTGGTGACGTGCGAACGCCTAATGCTCTGCAGCAGCAACTCCGTGGGAGCCGCTTGACTGGCACGATATCTGATACTCCACTTACTGCAGGTTAGGACACTTCTTATTTTCGGCCGTAGCTGTGTGAAGTGAAGTTTGCGATAGGCAGGCTGGCTCGATATACGCTCGAGAATTAGCGTTCAAGAGCACAGGCCTTTTTATATTCATCCCCCTTTTTATCCAGTGGTCACTCAAGCTCACTTGCTACGATTTAGCGCTATTTAAGTCATATGCTGTCTTTGTGTATGCCTTTAGCTACTCGCATCACCGTCACGGGTCACGGCAGCAGTGCGACTCCTCTGAATGATCCGTCCGACGCTGGGTCTGCTTCAGAAGGTGGTGGTATGGGTTCAAAGGCAGAGCTGCATCTCGCCCGTCTTCATGCGCGAACGTCTCTCGCCTCGCTTCCTGCTCCTAAGAATGATGTCACAGGCCAGATCCCGGATGATATTACTGAGGAAGAGAAGGAGCTTCTTGAGTCTGAAGCTGTGAGATATATTTCCATTGAGCGCTGGGTCATTACGTGGATGCTGGTCGCAGAGATGTCTGCATTGTTGTACCGAAAAGCTGTGGTTGCCTTGTGGCTCACATTTTAAGCAGTGAGAGGCGCTTGATTGTTCGGAAGTAACTACTGCAGATCAGTTGTTTCTGGCTCCTCTTTCTTTCAGGATTTGGACATGGAAGAGGTGGAGAAGCGACGAGCTGCGCGCGCAGCTGAGGCGGCGAGGAGGCGCTTTTTAGAACAGACGCAAGTGATGCAGCGGCAGCTTCCTAGGCCCATACTTCCTCCATCTAAACCGTTGAGCTCGTCTATCGACGCTACTGCAGTGGTGGCAGCGGCTGTACAGCAGCAGGTACAGCAGGATGAAGATACATATATCACGGAGGAGGGAAAGGATGCCGCTGTTGCAGCTATATCTGAAGCTGCATCGCTTACTGAGAATGTCATGGTGAGCCAGCCAGTGAATGAGCCTTCGTTGTGGAAGAAGAAACTCGCACGTCAGCTTGAGTTCACCTGCGTATGCCTTTTTCGTCATTTCTTGTGAATGCGGTCTTGCATCCACGCCTGGTATGGTGATTTTTGCAGAGTTTGCTCGTTCAAAACGACTGCTATTTGCATCCATTTCGCGGCATCAGCGTGAGCTGTTCAGACTTGTCGAGTCCAATTATGACTTAAGAATCCCTTTGGAATAATATATTTCTACTTCCCTGTACCATTTGTAGTTATTATGCTTGCGTATTAGCTCAGAAGACAGCATCAGTATTCAGACTGTCTCTACGTGCGAATTGTATTCGCAGCCGCCGCCACCAACAGGCGAACTTGAACCGTGCAGCTTGGAGCAAATGCAGGTACAGTCGAGGTGATGCGAGTAGAGCAACAGCGCAGCAAAACATGATAAACACAGTACTTCATAAAGCTTTATGGCGGCTTATAAGGGCTCGAGAGCGAGGAATTGAACTCTCAAGTACCGCATGCTCGATTGCAACGGGCCACTTCAGCTGCATTCTGGGTTACCTTGGCGTTGTCTCGGTGCATCACGCTGCTGGCCATATTTAGTGGTACACTTTGCTCGCCTGTTCATTGGATTGTGGGCCCATGGATTGTAGTATCACGCGACTTGAATTCCTTAGCTCCTTTTCCAGGGATGATCTCCTGAGAACACTACCGATTCCACATTTATTTGTGGGCAGGCGGTGAGAGAGCTTTTAGAAACTGAGCTGGCGTCTTGGAATTTAGATGAGAATTATCCGAGATTCGACAAACTTGTTCTTACGCTGGAGACACAGCTGGTCTTTAATCCGGCCTCAAAGTCGTGAGACTCCTTTGTAGAAATTGACTTAAGGGCGCTTCTGTGCAAGTGAACTGCTGCAGTACTAACAGCACGCTACGGGAAATCATGAAGTTACATAGCAGTGCTTGACTAGGCCAAGGCGTTGCTTGATTGTGGACCTATAGTAGACGAAGAGTGTCATTTTTGCTAGGGATCTAATTACGGTGTCAGATAGGTGCGTCGCTTTTGCAGGTATGTTTCTTCGTCAACCCTTAGCCCTAGTGAGCGCCTCCAGGTGTATGCTCATCAAGTGGAAACGCTGAAGACTGGCCTGGCTTCAGCTGTTCAGCGAACCAAAAAGCTGGAGAAGAAGTACAAGGTGCTCACGACAGGCTATACAAATCGTCAGAAGGAGCTTGCCAAGGCAATTAGTGAGCTACCAGCAATGAAACATGCTGCGCCTAATTTTGGGCATTTGGTAGTCTTTATTGTGCTCAGTCGTGTACTCTCTAAACCAGCGTAGCCTATGCGGATACATGCAAATGTTCGTTAGACATTCTCTTGTGTATGGCACTCCTCACGTGCGTCGAAAAGCTCTTACATACGACTGCTCTGCGCAGGCGAAAGCAGCGCCGAATTGCTGCAGCTTGATGCGCGCATTGCGTCTTTCACCAAACTGCACGAGGCAGAGCAGAAAGCAGTGAAGGTCCGGACTGAAGAAAAACGGGTGGAGGTCTTACGGGAGCGTGCAAAGCATTTGTTTCTCCAAGTACGCTTGCTCCTAAGCTTTAATTTGTTTTATGACTCACGGGTTTAAAACACAGTCATCACAACCATGGAGGAAGCTGGGTCAAGGATGAATGGTATCGGGCAGTTCATATTTTCCACCCAGTGCTGGGAAAATGTCACGTGAGCATTTTCTTCTTTTCTTTGATCATTAATGGGTTTTGTGGGCAGCAACTTTATGGGCGTCTGACAGCAGTCAAGAAGCACCTCCAGGAGCTGTTAAGTGACACGGGAGCCCAACAGGAGCAGCAAATACAGGCGTAGCAGTTAGAGCCCGGGTGCCCTTCTGCAGCTGCATGGCCTAGTGCTTCTCGGTTTTGGCTCACTCTGGATAATTCCACGAGGGCATTAGGAGGCAGGGTCTACTGCGCCCTCACGGTGGAACGAATTACTCGCTAGCTACACGAAAGTGGCTTGCTAGCGGCCCTTGTTGGTTAACAAAACTGGACGTGCTATTCATAAACAGAACTTGTGCGGAAAATGGTCACAGAAAAGGCAGTTTTTGCCAGCTTAAGTAGCACAGTTGCGTTGCAGAGTTCGGAACTACTGCAGTCTGACTACAGTACGCCAGTAGTACGCTGCCGAGGAGGGTAATATTGAGAGCGTGTGCAAGCTGGAGAATGCCAGGATGGGTAATTGAAGTGCTGTGTGTTGTACTTCGTACTGGCATCTACTTAGAGATGTTAAGCCGCAGCATGCACTGCAAACTCGAGACAGCAAGACGTTGCACAACGCAGCCGTTGGTTGAGAGGAAGTTCTTACCTGTATTGCTGGGTCGTCACATTGTACAGGCTGATTGCAGTTTACTGAGAAGCATAGCTTTCATGTCTTTTGGGATGATGAACTGGTTTAGGAATGGCTACGTTCACCATTTACACCTGCATTGCTAGGGACCCTACACAGAGGCGAGGAGGGTTTCCGATGTGCTTTGTGGGACACAGTTACAACTCATTTCAGTTGTTAGAAGGATGTGCTGCTCTGCACTCATTTTTTATCCTGTGACAGAGTGCCGATATATGGGCAAATACCCAAGCTATCGTGCATGGGCATGCTGGGCTATCGGAGGTCACTGGACCGCTCGATGGTCCGCCAGTGGCGGTGGTTCGGAAACTAGGAAACCTACGCGAAGCCAAATTCTGGACAAATGTTCAAAGTTCATTTAAACAGAAAACTTTTTCGTCTCTTCGTTGTTAATGCTCCCTTTAGTAAGAGCAGACAGCTCCTCCAACGCGGGCTTGTTTGCTAGGAGCCTCACAAAGTGTCCCGTTTCGTCACAAGATTTGTAAGCTCTCGAGTTGACGCCATTAATACTTTTGGGTGACTGACACATTTTAAAGCAACAGCGAAGCGGTCAGTTTGGCTTCATTCCACTGGGCTCGAGTTTCACTGGCTTGGCAGCGACAAGCGGCTCTACGAACTACGCAGCCGTACAGATCCTCACTAACAGGTAGTCTCTACTTGAATATTTGCAGGTCCCGAGTAACAGGTAATCTCTGCAATAATATTCAAAGAAATATACTTAAAATGATTTTGTCATGGAAGCTTTCAGTCATCATGGCGCTGTCGGGTCTACCTCTGGTTAGGCCCGCTGCAGTCCGGGAAGGTACGGCATTTTGTACTTATCGAGCATTATTCCGCTCTAGCATATTGATATCAATGAGGGTTCATAGCAGTGCTAATAACCAGTGCAGTCCTGTTAATCCCTCGGTTCCAGGACCTCATCACGCGAGAGAGCGATATTTGCAGACTCGCCACGAGCTGCCTGCCTGTGCTCTAGGCACCGCTGGCTTACACAGGACTTTGCATCCAGTAAGTCCCCAACCAAATGATGTTGAATAGTATGATGCTGTGCCTTCAGGCTGTGAATGCCCACTCACGGAAGACCCTGTGTGCGGGGTGGATTCTAAGACATACTTGAATAGCTGCCACTTACAATGCACGCAAATAGAGATGAAGCATAAAGGGGAATGCGCTGAATCTTCATTGCTCTCCGGTGAGTGAGCTTCTTTCACTAGACCTCGCCCAACAGTGCAAAAGTAGGATATTTGGCTTGATGCTTCCTCGACTCGTCCTCAGCAGGTGTAGTTTCTGAGTGTTGCTTTCCGTGAAATGGGTAAATAAAGCTGGCGTGCCTCACTATTGTCAAGTCATTGTTTGATCCCAGTGGGAAAACGTTTGGCAGCGGTAGCTTGATAATGCAGGCTGAGGCCAAGTTGTGTAGTATCGTTCATGTCCTCGTACAGGCCAACAAATAGAAGCGGATCAAAACGGTATGCCTGTTGCTCCAATGACGCTATATTAGACGTACAGTATGGAACAGTACCTGCCGGACTTTCCTTGCGCTCTCTTCTAAGCTTAGGCCTACTTTAACGGCTAGCTTAAGCAATAAAAAGCAGAGATCTTTAAGTTTTCGCGACTTACTTTACTGTCGTTGGCGCTACATTCATATGAAACAACACATCAGCGTGTGCGTTGTGGTGATTGCCTGCTCAGAGTGCATGTGCCCTCAAAAATACAGTCCAGTATGCGACACCCGCAATACGTTGTTTCACAATGCCTGTTTACTGAATTGCAAGGGGAGAACCCTCGCGTATTTAGGGGCATGTGTAAGGCAATCATGTGAGGCACTTACGGTTCTTTACACTTTATTGAGTCCTGCTGTTTAGGCCTGCCTATGCATAACGTAGTTGCGTCCATTTGTATCTCCAGGATAAGGATGGATAGTACCTGCCTTTGAATTGCCCAAGTGGCGCCGGATGTGTCCTGTTATTCTGCAGCTTGCTCATGTTTGGGCTACAGCGACCCTGTGTGCGATACCCAAGGCAGAACTCACACAAATGAATGCCTACTCGAGTGCAGAAACAGGACTCTAGCCTACAAGGGACCTTGCAATTCTTCCTCACGTAGGCCGCTGCTTTCGGGCTTGTAGAGTCAACTGTTTCATTGGTGAATTCAAAGTGCTTAATGGCGCGTCCAAATATACCGAGGTCGAACCGCTTTTGTGTGCTGTCCGTTTTACGTAGCGTGCTTGTGCCCAAGCACAGTGGACCCAGTATGCGACACCACGGGCAGAACCCATCAAAACAGATGTTTTCTGCAGTGCAGCAACGCAACTTTTGCATACGGCGGTTTCTGTCAAGAGCATCCAAGTGAGCAGCACCTCCGTTTTCTTCACCTTTTTATGCTCCTGTTCGACCGAAGAAACAATAATGCTAATCTGCAAGCTAGCTCTTACTGAGGCAATGCCCAATACAGCTATCAGCTGTCTGTGAAAGTTCTGGGACTGCTTTTTGCTGCAACTCTTGATTTTTCAGACTGTGTCTGCGCTGAGACATATGACCCAGTTTGCGACACTGAGGGCACAACGCACCGTAATTTATGCGTCTTGAGGTGCCTCCGCAAAAGCTTGGCTAACTCTGGCGTTTGCCAGCCAGCTGCGGGTAAGACAATCACTGTGAGGTCACAACTCTGTAGTGCCGTGGCTTAGTTATCTCTGACGTGCTTTTGCCCAGCGCGATGCGTCAACTAACAGGAACCATGCTCTTGTTATTTACTCAGCAAATTGCATTTGTCCGACGGTCCTCCGCCCAGTGTGCGACACCGAAGGAATGACACACGATAACGAGTGTGTAATGAGATGCCGGAGGAAGGCTCTAGCTTACGAGGGTGCTTGCCAGACAGTGCCAAGTGAGATAAATGTTTGAAACTTCGGGGTAGTTTCGCTGAACGGTATTTGTCACTGAGTTGTCTGTGTGGCGCCAAACATAGCGCTGTAAAATGAGGACATACTTTTGTTATTTTGTGCCTGAATGTGCAGATTGCGCCTGCCCTTCGGTTTACCGCCTAGTGTGCGATACCGAAGGGACGACACATCAGAACGAGTGTGAACTGAGATGTCAGGGGAAAACACTTGCCTATCAGGGTGCTTGCGGGGCTACGGGAGGTAAGGGATGCAATTTTTTTGCGCCTGTCAGATACGACATGAGCTATGTCTTCCTATTTCCGCTCCAATTTTCTTGATTTCCTACCTGTTCGTGTGCTTCGCACTTTCGTTGTCGATTCTTCAGGATGCGTTTGCCTTCGCGAGTACAAACCAGTCTGTGATTCCAACGGCATCACTCACCCGAACAGATGCTATCTTAATTGTGCCCGCGCTCGCTTTGCTTATGGTGGCGCATGCAGAAGTGAGTTGAATACAGTTGAATTTATCTGACTGCTGCACTCAAGGAATTGCGGCCTCTGAATGTACTAGAATGTGGGCGCATTTGTCGTGAGCAGTTCAATTACAGTTAGCTGCAGTCCACTAAGTTGAATGCGCCCGCAACAGCTCGTCATTGTGACCTTGCCCTTCGGTGTGCACAGGTATCTGAAGAAACCGCCGCGAGTCCACAGCAAGTCATTCACTGGGGGTCCACTGGCACTGGCACAATTTTATCAGAAGGGCAAGCGTCTTCAACCCTACTAAGAAAACAGCTCAAACACCTGAATGGGTTCTCTGTGACGCGTCAGAGTATTATCTCAACAGACTGCGCCATGCATACTTCCACAGCGCCTGCTAATAAAGCCATTTGATTGGAGTTCTGGAATGGCCAGGGTGGCTTCTGCCTGGAAGTCCCCCACTCGCGTGTCTATCCACGGCACGTTGCTCATTTGCATACTCGAATATAAATATCGCCCACCTACATCCAACCGCGTGAAGACGAACAAAAATAATTCAATAGAGCCATACAACATAGAGGAAAATTTTGCTCTGGACAGAAACCTTTTTGTTATGCGCCTACGAAATGGAAGAGTCATACATGCGCGGGATGTTGGTTTCCCCAAGACGTCCAGAGTAGGGGAATCCAGTCGAGCAACGAAGGATACAGCTCCTGCATCAGCTGTACCGGAGGGTCAAGATTCAAACACAGCTCCGCAGAAAGTTGTCTTCAAGAGGCAGGCCTTCGAACCCGCTCCGCAAATGGACTTAACAAAAGGTACTGCTCGGTTGGAGTGCGGGACGGCTTGTCTATCGGCCTTTATGGCGTCATGAGTGTGCAAACCAGGCATCCGCGGTCCAACAGCCAATAGCGAGAGAAAAGGGAGAGAGCATACAGATCTTCCTAGATTTCGCAGGGACCAGGTTCACAAAACCGGCTCTCGAACAATGTTGTTGGGAAAAGTACTTCTTGAAAGACGCTGTATGCGCTTTTAGATCGTCTTCACGCAGGTTTATTCCTGAAGCGTCCGCATGACCACCACATACTATTATCACCAGGCCACCT